TATTATGGGTTACTACTTGGCCAAGGATCCTGGTCATGATGTGGCACCACATCCTTGTCCAATACATCACACGTTGGAGTTGTGAGCGCTCATCTTCAAGGTGTGTGTATGGACAAGATGTGTCCAATCCACTACAAGATCCTTCGGTACCCAAGTATACCTTTTTCTCTTCTCTCATCTCTCTCTCTCTATTTTATACTCTATAATATATTATAATATATATAATATATATATTATATAGTATATATATAATATATAATTATAATATAGTATATAATATATGAATAGAAACTTGGTACCAAGTTGCTTCCAAGCAACTTGGTAGTGGATGTGGCCTAATCTGTCTAACATCTACATAGGAGTTTGGTGAAGGTGGTGGTTGAGGCTCTATCTTCGAGGTGTGATGTAGGGTCAAGATTAGGCTACATCACTACCAAATTGTTTTAAGCAACTGGTACAAGGTTCTCCATATTTCTCAATATATATATATATATATATATATATATATATATAATTAATAATATATATATATATATATATATACTATCATTATATATTCGTGTCTTGGACTCAGCCTGATTATTCTTGGTACATACAAGAAAGGTGGAACTACATTAATTCTTGATTTAAAGAAGCAAATTAAAGCTCACAGAGCTAAACATTTCTAAACCTATAGCAAAAATCAAGAAATCTAGAGAAAGAGAGCACTAATAATATCCTTAAGCTATCAACATTACTAATCCAATATTTATAACTTTTCTAATTCTCATATCCTCAAACACATCAAGACTCCAAAATTTACTGAAATATAAGTCCAAAATTCTATAAAAGCTTTATCAAAAACTTAATAAAAAAACTTTATAGTCACAGATTGACAAAGCAAGAAATATGTGAAATCAGGATTTTGATTCGACCTTATGGAATAATGAATATGATGATGGAACAATAAGAATGACCGTCAGAGATAACACGGATGATTATCATACTATTTCTATAGATGATCATAAAAAATACTAGGATCATCGCTGGAGATGCTGAGAGAGCACCGGAGATAGCTTGAGAGCATGCAAGAGATAGTCGGCGTGGAGTAGTCGAACAAAGAAAGGCAGAGGGGAGAAACAACAGAGAAAGGCGGAGGTCGAGATTCATAGTGATAGCCGAGAGGAGAAACAACAGAGGTTTTGAGAATTTTAGGAATTGAAGTATGGGTTTTGGGTTGGTTATGTGTTTGGATATATAAGTGGGCCCGAATCCTTATATTAAGTGAATTACAAATATTCATATTTGTATCCGAATTTTACACTTATATCTAGATCTAGATCCATATCTAGAAAAAAAACATTTAAACTGGATCTGTACCTCAAATCATATCTGCCCAGTTCTAGAAAAAGCCTACTTTCTCTGCGTCGTTCAAACACGGATACAGATGCGGATCGGTTAGGATGAAACCAAACCATTTGGCACCCCTACTTGTAATCTAGATCAACAAAGGGTGTAAACCGGATTCAAGAAGCGCGTGACATGAGTGTGTTTCATAGTTTTTATCTGTGCAAAAGATTACAATATTGGGAGAGAGCTTCACAGTCTTTGTCCATGCAAAAGATTGTAAAAAGAGGGCTTTGGAGAGAACAAGAGAGGTTAAATATGTATGTGATGTTGAGAGATTGAGAGACAAGAGGTGAGTGGTTCCTTTTGTAATTCTCTTTGGTACATAGTGGATTTTCTAGAGTTGTTCCCTGTGGATGTAGGTCGAAGTGGGTCGACCGAACCACATAAATCTCAATATTATTTTTCTTGATTGTGAGTGTTTTCTACTTGTTGATTGTGGGTTGATTTTTAGGCTACGGAGATCGTAGTAGGGAGAGTAAGATCCCCAACAACTAAGGGGTGTATTGACACTCGAGCCAATACTAAGGGGTTCTATTCGCAACAAGTAAAGCTATAAGGAGTCTATTCACAACGAATAAAAGTACAATGAGTCTATTGGTAATTGGGTGATACTATTTGGGTGTCTGTTCGCAATGAACCCTATGAACAAAATTGAGACTCTCATATAAAGTTGAAATTTTGATTGTAACAAGCATGAGACTACAACTTGATTTCTCTAACGACTACCCATCTGCTGATTCTTCAGCATCAAATTTCACATAATCATCCGAGTTTCATTCAGATTAGGCACAACTCTCCCCACTTATAAGAAATCTTAAGGATGATGTAGTATGAAATATAATCATAATTAAATTTTTAAAGATGAGTAAGTAACGCTAGAAATTGGCGTAATGCTCTGAAAAAACAGTTGAAATTAACTGTCAACAATTGCTACAAGAAAACTGACAGAGCAGAGAAGCTCTCAGCTCTTAACAGTTCACAATATGCTGCCGTCAAACATCTTCTCTTTGAAAATCTTATTACAGTGAGAACGCGTTTGCACGTACAAACATAAATACGACTAATTCCATTGGATTCTAGTAGTACCAAACCTTTGATTTCTTCTCTTCTTAGTGTCTCTTATAGTGGGAACTTGCTTGAACGTATAAACATACGTACGATCACTGTTGGGTCGAAATCAATCCTACTCCAGACTACACAAAAAAAGAATATAATGAAGATGCAATCATTCGGTCTAAGCCCACAACCATAGTGCAAACATAGGAGAGATTTCTATCAATCACACCCTCAACAAAAGTCAAACCCTTCTTGTGTCCATCCACAGTACGTTTGACAACCCTAAACAACAGTAGATACAATTCATGGAATCTCCAGTAGAGAAGAATAATTGTAGAGAAATTAGATCCAAGACCAAAATTTTTGGATGACTCCCTTGAGCAAATGATTACACTCCTCTCCTCTTATAATGTTTGAGTTTGACACTTCGAATTCATCACCTAATAAAGGCTAAATGACGCTTAGATACCCTATTGTTTCATCATCTTTGCACCTAAATACCCTAAATTGTAAAAAGTAGCACTTTGCTACTCTAAGTTGTGAAAAATAGCATTTTAACACCAAAGTTGTAAAAACACTGACATTTAGATATACTACTGTTTCACCACATTTTCACCTAAATATTATAAGTTGTAAAAAATAGAGTTTTAATACACTAAGTTATAAGAAAGTAGTACTTAAATGCTTTAAGTTATAAAAAATAGCAATTTAATACCTACTGTTAGTTGTCAAGAAAATTTTCTAAGAATATTACTATGAAAACTAACAAAATGTACTCATGTGCTCTTTTTTTTAACTTAGAATATTAAAGTGCTACTTTTTACAATTTAGAATATTTAAATAAAAATGTGATGAAATAATAGAATATTTAAATACCATTTAGCCACTAATAAATTATTCACTTTTCAAGGCCAACATTCAAATTCCATTCAAGCCTCCATTCCATGGTGATTTTCAAACTCCTCCACTAACTCATGCTGACCATTCTCCTCTCTCTCTCTCTCTCTCTCTCTCTCTCTCTCTCTCTCTCTCTCTCTCTCTCTCCAGTTGAAATTTTCTACTAATTGCGATAAGGACTGACAAATTGGAGAAGCAATCATGCTCTCAACCGCTGACATTTTCATGCAGTTAGATGTCATTTTCTCTAGGAAGACCAGCAGAATTTAAATTATATCGTACACACCTCATGGATCGTGAGGATACATAAATTTAATCAATCTGCTTGAGTTTCTAGAGAACATTTCAAGCAATTGCAAAGCAATAAGAGAACTGTAACTACAAAGATATAACAGTGTCTATATTCACCTAAGTCCATGGGAGAGGCAGGAAAGATAGCAAAGAGTAGAAACACAAGAATCCAAAATAAACCCACCAGCAGAAGAAGAAGAAGAAAGAACTCTCAGATTTCTTGCCATGGAAAAAGCGGCACAGTTGAACTTGCAGATAGAACCCCCCCCCCCCCCCGCCAGACCCTTTAGGCGTAATCACTTTCCAAATTTTGTTAGCACTTAGAATCACCTGGGTAAAACAAAGTTATCCTCTCGTTATTTGTACATGTATTTTAGGTGGTGTGTATTAACCATGTATAACTGGCATGTGTTCAAACACCTCTAAGACAAGGACAGCGGGTCCCTCTTCAACATACAGAAATATAACGAGATCTTTCTGCATTGCAAGACGTATCGACGGAAAGAAATTGCACGTGTCGAATGGATCAGAGAGGGTAGGGTTCCTCTACAAACAATTCGCTTCGCACAACCCAAAAATTTTTCCGTGGGTCTACAAGAAGATGAAAAAATACGGAATTGTATCAAGAACTATGTACAAAAAAATAAGAGAATATCCCCAGGTTTAGAAGGAATTGGAATTGCACGCATAGAAATTCAAAAAAGAATCGATTTGGTCCAGGTCATAATCTATATTGGGTTCCCAAATTTATTAATAGAGGGACGAACGCGAGGGATCGAAGAATTACAGATGAATGTACAAAAGGAATTTCGTTCTGTGAACCGAAGACTCAACATTGCTATCACAAGAATTGAAAAACCTTATGGGCACCCTAATATTCTTACAGAATATATGGCTTCGCAATTATAGTTATTAAGTTAAGTTCATAGTGGGATCAGTCTTTTTTTTTTTTTTTTGAAGCCCAACTTAATGCTTAATATCATGTGACACTCATGCAATGAATATAAATACGAAAAAGATAACCCTATTTCACTATCATTAAGTTTTAGAGCTAATAACACATTTGAGAAAACAAGTGACTGATTTTTGTAGTGCTAGGTGTGAATCTACAAATTACATAACAGAGGATAAAATTAAGGGATAACAAATCCAAGTGTGGTTTGCATTTCATGAATTAGTCATCAAATAACACTGCTTGTAAGAACTACATCAGTGTGAAAAATTGGAACCTATTATTTCGACACCTTATCTGTGAAAGATAAAATGAGATTTATATTGAGTGCGAAAAGTTTGTTCAGCTATGAGGAGAGAGCTCTAGATCAACAATAAGGACAAACAAATAAATATAGACAACAAACCTTACAATCTTTTCTTCAAAATAAAATTATGTATAATCCATCAAATGAATGTATGCAACAATACCAAAAATCGATTCGCAACAACTTATTAAGCATCTCTATAAACTTAACTTCCACAAGTTTTCAACATGAATTCCAGCAGCACAACAAATATAGCAAATAAAATGGGTATTTACACATGAATAAGTTAATAGAGTATTATTTTATTACCTCTCCCTCCCATGTCGTGCCTATAAGAGAACTTTTGGACTGTCAGATAATAGTATTGTTCTCTTTACTGAGCATACTTTCATGAGTTCATAAGCAACAGGATCAGGTGCTTGCTCATTTATATTGGTTGTTTTCAATGGAAATGCAACATCTTAAGACCCGAAAACCTCTTCATTGCATACCGGGCATGCCTGATACAAAGATACAGGATATTTTCAACCTTCAGTTTCTCATTTTTGCAAATAAATAGAAATTTGATAACCAAACTGCTAATAATGCAGGAAAGCATATGCGAACAATGGAACATGTAATAATGAAGTAATTGCACAATGTTACCCATATCTTTGTACAGGAACCTTACTTATGTTAAGTATCTTTGTACAAAACAAAAATTTATGGTGCATCTGGACCACACTCTTTTTTCTCTATATATCTTCTCGTATTTTTTGATGTAGGATAGATTTGGTCTTTGAGTTAATTAGGGTTTCAAGACATTCAACTCAAATTGTTCCCATCGTCCCATTCAATACTAATTTTTAAGACGAGATTTGTTGAAGTGTTTGTTGGATATCCCTGCAATCTCTAGATCATTCGTGACAGGTTAGGCAAACTGATGATAAAACAAAATTTCAGTGATCTCACTAGCAATTAAAAGAGAAGAGAATGGTGCGCTTCAAATTTACAACACGAGCCCATGTTAAATATCACGTGGTTGATGATATCCCTGATCCTTGCCCACACAGAAAATCCAGTTCATACATACTGATTTGTGGCGTGTCCCTGATCTGAATTACTAAAAGTAGTGACCAGAGAAATAAAAAAACAATGATTGAATGATTCAATAAACACTCCTGGGAAATAGAAGAAATAATTAGATGATTCAACAAGCTCTTTTGTTGTATTCACTAGTAGTATTAACTTTTTTCTTAAAATAATTTGTACTCGAGACCTACTATGACTTTCAAAAGCGGATTTAAATTTTGATTAATAAATGTTGTCGTCGTGTTTTCTGAAATGAAGTATTTACTTTTTATTGTTTAAACAGATAAAAGTTTCTACTATCATAATTATTGGTTTTAGATGATCATAGATGCATGTGTCTTCTCTGCATTCACATGCACATGAATAATAAACACATAACAGTAGAGTGGCCATAGAAATGTTCCCATGCGCACAGATGCAATATACAAATTTGATGAAGCTTACTTCCTCTGTACTGCAACTAGCATATTGCGTAATGTACGATGAACCTGAATGTTCACTGAAGGTAATGCATATAGGACAAATATTGGAGAACCTGAAATATGGAGGGCATGAACACCGGAAATGAAACGTTACTAGTAGAACTGGTATATTGCATTCCCTACTAGTATAAGTTGAAAAGTTGGATTCCCTACTAGTAGAATCCAACAAAGAACCATAATATAGGATGTACTTTTACTGAGATACATTTAGCGGATAAGAAGGTTCTTATTCATGCTGGCTTTCACGATGAAAAGCTTCATTCCTGGCTACTAGCTTAAGCTCTCAGAAGTTTCTTCACCTATGTAGTTTAGGGAAATCTGAGTAAGACAATCAGCCCCATGTTCAGATTTCACTGAAAATCATTTTCTTTTTTCCTTACAATATGATGAGTTCATATTGCAAACATGTTCCATTGAACATTGAGCATTGGAACGCCAGACTTAAAATGATTAGGCTGCCAAAAGACAAGTACTACTCTGATATGAAGTCAGTTGACTCGTCTAATAAAGTTTGCAAAATTAATGTACTATCAAATAATTAAGTAAATATTTCACACGAAAAAAAAGTAATAAGTCCAAGATTTGGAGAGAATCATAATTGATCAAAATAATAGTACCTTGTTGATCTTCAACCAACGAGTGATACAATGTTTATGGTATTGATGTTGGCAGGGAAGCTTGATCAGTTTATCTCGATTTTTGTAAGCCATGTAACATATCACACACCTGCATTCAAAAAATAGCATGAATCAGGAAAAGTCAATGACTACAACATGTTTCGTTTTTCTAATACTTGCAGTAGAATATGAAACAATTGGTAGCTGGTGGAACCTGGTTTCCTATTTACCAATTTATAGATCCATAATATGCTATAATTTAGCAGTCAAAAAGATTTTGGATGAAATTGCAATAGCATGATGATGTGTTTATTTTCCTGGTTAGGATATATGGTAATTGTGCTTTATATAAGCAGACATACCTTAAAGTTATTTTGTTTTAGCACACTACATTAAGAAAGTTATATATGAAATTTTTCTTAATAGACAGGAGGATTTCCATTTGCTCAAGCTGTCTTACTTTGAACTGGCCTTTGCAACTAGGTTTATCCTATTAAAATCTTATATCAAAATTCCTGCATCGCCTACTAAAGCTACTAAATCCTTGTACTTCCTGTAAGATGTTTACTTTATATATTAAAAGTGTTCACACAGAATCTAACAGATACTGTAATAATACAGAGAGTATACTTACCATAATGCATTATAAATAGGATCTGCCATCCTCAATAAAAGTGAGAATTTAGTTCAATACTGTTTCACAGTATGGAGATGTTGCTCCAAACAGAGAATCCAGACATCTTTCATTCCAAACCCACATAAATTGGGGTAGTGCCTCTTAGAATCAAATCTTTTCAATTTTCCGTATCAATCTCTATTCCACTATGCTGGAAAACAGGTTAATACGGGTTGGCAACTCCACACGTGCCAAAAAACGGCACTGAATTTTAAATTCAGTACAATTAATGATCCTTGATGCAAACCTCTAAAGTTACAATTGAACTAGTAAAGACACTGTAGAGTCTCTTTAATTCTTAATCAGCTCATGACAGGTCAAAGGGTCAGACCTGGATATTACCCATTTAATAAATGAACTGGGTTGACCTGATTATGATATGAAGTTTGTTTAAGGTTATTGATAGCGCATAGCGTTGCATAGCGGTGAGGCATCGCTAAGGCTATTTCGAGCAATTGTAACAAAATAACAGTAAAAAGCACAAAGCCAAATAGCGGTCTAATTTAAATATATATATATAAATATTCAAAAAATAAGAAAAATTTAAAAAAATCTAGAAAATCTAAAAATGCATATTTGATGATTTAAAGAGATGCTAAACATGAAATAGACATGTAACTGTCACATAATACCGAAAACAACTGGAGGAATCAAAGAGTTGTTGTCTTCGAGAAGAGGAGCTGAGCGAGGAGAGAATTGCATTAGGAGAAGCTCATGGCGAGAGGAAGTGTTAAGGGAGGTGCCGAAAGTTATGGGAGGTGGCGAGAATATGCCGAAAATTACGGGAAGCAATGGGATGCAGTGATTGCAGGCTCTGAAGCATGGATTCACCCCCAGAGGCCACGAATCTGTGTCCGACTCGAATCGGACACGGATTCGTCACGACACGTGCACGACACATGTCGGACACGGTCAATCCGTGTCCGACACGGATCAACGGTCAAATTAGGCTCGAACACGGTCAAAGGAGCTCGGACACGGTTCGGATTCGCCGAAGGTCGATTCATTCGGGTTTGGTTGTTTAAATCCAACCCGAACCGTTCGATTAAAAAACCTATCCCTATTTCTCAAATCTCTCGTTCGATTTGATCCTCAGCTGACTCAAACGAAAGAAAATAAGAAAAAACCCTAACCCTAACCCTAATCCTCTCTCTCAATCTCTCAGGTTCCACTTCATTGAGATACTTTTGTTTACAAACTTGTTATTTTATGATAGATTCATATTTTAGATTGTTAGTCAAATTTTATAAATTTTTCTATATATAATAATATTTTTTTAAATCCTTATCGTATCCCCGTATCCTATTTTTTGGATTTTGTCGTATCCCGTATCTGTGTCCGTGTCGTATCCATGTCACGTATCTGTATCCGTGCATCATAGACTGCAGGTTAGGTTTAATTTTTTAAAAATAAACCTCTAACCGTTTTTAAATAACGGTCAAAAAGCAGATCTTGCTGCAATCGCCCACTATTCACTGTTATGACACGCTAATGGCCACTTTTGCAAGCGAAAAACGCATATTCCGTAATATGTCAACGCTATTAGGTGATAGTGTAGCGGGAATGGACCGCTAATGCTATTAGCGCCGCTATTGCAACGTTATTTACCATTATTTATAACAGTGAGTCTACTATACATGAAACACACCCAACTGTTTATTATCAGGTTCCCATCAGATTGAAGATCCTAGCCATTATCTCTGAAGGGGAAAAAGGTCATATAGTGCTACAGTAGTTGAACCGAAACAATAAGAAGTTCACTACCAAAAAGAAGTAGTTGTAATGACTTCATACCATCAACAATCTCGTTTACATTGGTGAAAACTTGATTCCAAAAACTATTTTGTCCTATTCAATTACTTCCATCCTTGGAGTCATTGACATACAACATCTTTAACCCCTGCTAACCCAAAACTTTTCGCATGGAGAATCAAGTCCAAACCCAGCATATGCTTCATGAAAGGAAGTTGACCATTTGATTCACATCTAGATAAGTGTTGATACATTAAAAAAATAGATATACTTCCTCTCTTTCATTGTCAAGACATTCGAATGATGGTTGATGCTTAGTTTACTCTTCAATGTCATTTTGTAGATTTGCTTCAACTTTTGTGTGATTCGTTATGACACTAGACTTCAAACTGAAAAGGATATCTCAGAATTGATGAATACTTACAGAACTTAAAGAGATCATTAATCAGCTTACTGCTTCAATCAACCCTTATTTGACCAGGATTATTGATCCATCACCTGAATGATCTCCCACCATCTCCTACTTATTATGAGTATCATAACCGTTGCTCTAAATCAATCTTCTACACCAAAACTTCTTTTGTAAATTGTTCCTTGATCATAGGCTTGTCCCTAATCACTATGACACACACATGCACGCACGTGCATGCACACACACACACAAATACCTTCATTCTATTGTAACTACAGCTCTTCTTGATTTCTATCCTCTTGTTAATTTTTAGTAGAAAAAGTCTAATCTTGTTTGGGTTGAGGTAGAACCCTTGAGTTGACTATGATCTAGATTAACCTATGCAATCACTTCTTGATTTTCCAAATTCCTTTTATGGCCATCATCGTGTTTGCCATCACAATTAGCATGGCCTTATGACAATTTCATATGTATACATACTCCTTGTTCTACCTGGTAAAAGATTTCCTTTCCAGGAGGGGTAGATTCAGTAAAAAACTTTTTTCCTTCATACTATTTTAATAGGTTTCATGTGGCTGAGCAGTATCGCCGTTGACTGCGAAATACCAAATCTGAAAAGAAAGATTATTGTTAATGATTCATATAAGCGAAGAAGTCCTACATATGGAAGTTTCATTACTGAGCAGTAGACACAAATATTAACTTGTACTTAGGATTTGTCAGTTTAAAGATATCGGTTAGATTCGTTCTCAGCCTATATAGCATATTTTAGCTTTTCTGACACATTTAAAAAACTCATGCAAAGTGCACAACATAAATATAATACTGACTCTAGACCTATTAGGTTTAGCTTTTCTACCATATTGGTCTGAGCCAATATCAGGTCTTCACTGCTTGCCCTTAGAGATATCCGCCTTGTAATAACTAATAAGAATCTAGCAAATGTAAGATGCTGCTCACTGACATTGTTTTTTTTCAAATGTCTAGGTTTTTAATCCCACTTATCACTCGTGATACCACATTTTTGGTAAGGTTCTTTATATCAGATAACATTATCACCATCTAAATAGTAGCAAATGAGATATAACCAGAAAAAGAATTTCATTTGATGTAATAGCCTCATCTTGTCATGGCACCAATTCGTAATGCCACAATTTGATCATCGCTCGTCATGGAAAGAGTTGTAGAATGACAGTTTTCTTTAGAGTTTCTTTTAATCTTCTCTAATATAAAGAATTTAGCATAACTCACAGATAACTATTAAAATGGCCATATAAGCGGCCATTCATGAAAAATCGGATAGCTCACATATCATGCTTCATAGGATGAACCTCATTTGTTTCACCATATGGTTAAATGTGTTTTCTATAAATTATACTTAGAAAGTATGTCATTTGATGCTTGATAATTCAATATCACATTATAACACAAGTCTTGATGTCAAACATCATGACTTAGTGACCGTAGATTATGCACACATGTCATGATAAACAAACTGATAAAAAGTACATTTCCTGATCTATATCAATTTGCGGTGTCATAATTTCTAAAGAAGTAACATACTGACAGTGAAGAAAGTATCCACATGTACAACTCTAGATGCCCACATGTTTGGGGATTTTACTTCATCTTTAATTTTAGAGTTTAGTGTTATGCATACGTACCCTTAAAGGGTACAATCTATAACTTACATAACATAAAAATGATTGCAACACATCAATAGCATGATATTTTTTCAAAAGATATTATATTCTTAGCTGCCACTTAAAACATATGAATAACTCATTTTACAGTCAATGTTCGATACATGAATTTAAAATGAAAATGTAGACAAACAATCTACTAGACCTTTCAAACACACTTCGATGACATATGAATTCAATTTGATAAAAGATGTTTAGTAGCACATACTCATCACGTTTCTCTTTTCGGGAAAATAGTCTGGTTTTGTAAGTAGACGAAGGCAAGAAGGATATAAGCTCATCTGATAGGCCTCGGCTTTCGGTACCTATGGCTTCAGTTAATGATTGCAACTCCTAAAATAGATAGTGAAATAGAGTGGTTAAGTAACAAATAATAAACATATGTAGTCACAAGCAAACCAACCAAATACTAAGAAAATTTTATTTGATAAAGGTTTCATTTCTCGTCTCTTATAGTGTTTACTTCATCCTAATAATAGAAAAGACAACTTCATGATAAACTGCCAGCAAAACAACAAACACTAATTCTGTAAATAAACCTTCTCTCAACTAATATACTAATTGTGGGTACAAAACCACAAACCCCCTCCTTCTTTAACGCCTTCCATTTCCCGCATGATATTCTTCTTTCTCTCCACACTTCTCCAATCACTGATCACCGATATCAATGGGGTGCGATGCTCATAGCCACTCTGGAAAGAAAGCTCGAGTCAAAGATTTTTGTTGGAATTGGTGAAAGAAAAACTTTGACAAAAGGTGAATGATAGAACACAATGCAAGGATCCACCTGGACTTTCTACTTAGACGTGGAACTTGTCTGAATAAGTTGTAGCGCTCCGGTGACTTTGCAAAGCATCTAACAGCGGGACTTACCGGTAAAATCTCCAATCAGATTGTCCACCTCATCAGCATGGCACTCACACTGACCTCATCCTCCACTGGACAATTGAGCACATCGCCGGCATCAAAGAAGATGAGAGGACAATAAGTAAGATTCCTGATACTTCATTTGTGATACTTTGATTCTTTTTGTTTTAGATGATTAATTGTTCTTGATGAGTAATATTCATATCGTTGATTATTGTAGATGACAGATGCTATCTGCTCCTGATAATATCACTCATCAAGAATCATCAATCATCCAAAAAAACAGATCAAGTATCAAGAAGCTTACCTATTGCCCCTCCCTCTTCCTCGATGCTGCTAGTATGCTTGATTCTCTGAGGAAGGGTGAGTTCAGTGCAATTGCCTTAGTGATGAGATGAACAATTTGATTGAAGAATTTTCTGGTGCGTCACACCACTAGATGGTCAATAAATTCACCGGAGCTCAGCAATTTATTCAGAAAAGTTTCACATCTAAAGGGAAAGCCGATTGGACCCTTGCTTCGCGTTCTATCATTCCGCACTTGTTGAAGTTTCGCTTACACCAATTGCACCAGAAATCTTTAAATCGAGCTTTCTTTTCAGAGTGGCTATTAGCATTGACCCCATTAATATCAGTGATCGGAGATTAGGAATTGGAGATTGGAGATGAGTGGAGAGAAAGAAGGAGCGGGAAATGGAGGGAGTCAGAGAGGGAGGGGGTGTGAGGTTTATTTATATCCATGGTTTCTTAATTTTAGTCCTATATATGTTTTACATCAGCATAACATGCATTCTCTCAACTGATTAGCTCAACTAACTTTTCTTTTTCATTCAAGATTCAAGTCCCATATTGTCTACCACTTCCTTTTATATGAACTAAGGCAACCTACCCACAATCAGTATGCTTGAGTGAGATCTTAGTTACTCAAAGTCGTCATTGGATCTCACCAGAAATTGATATTTCCTCCACCACTACTTGTTCTTTTGTGCTCATTTAACATTACTCTACCACAACAATTTTATATTAACCAATTGCGTAGGATATACAGATCCTTCGTGATTGATCAATTCCATTAAGGACATCGTCATTGTTACATCAAGCAATCTAAATGCATGCACCTTACTCTTTATATTTATATTTTATCCTACCATATTCCTAAAGATCAACAAAAATCTTTAGTGCCCGTAACTGGAGTTTCAGAATTTCTTCCATGTACATGATTATAATAAGATATTTTAGGCGGATTTTTCTTCATTTTCCTCTTTTTCTTTCTTTTTTTTTATTTTGTCAACAACTCTGCATTTCCATTTCTTTCTACAAACTCAGATCACATTATTGTGTATAGTTCTAATCTATGTTATTCGAGTACTTCTATCATGAAGCGATGCTCGTACCTAACACGTATCCATAAAAAACTTCATGGACACTCCTTGGATATATAT